TGTGGATCCATATCATTAAATAAAGCAATTTCAGCAGGAACTATTGTTCTACTAGTGCTAAGTTTTATTTTTTTAAGCAGCATTACCCATACATGTTTATGCTCGGAGTTGCCATGATCTACATCCGGTTTGTTTCAGAGCCATCATATTCGGAGATGTAAAAAAAAACATTGGAGAAGAGAATATAATATCTAGGTTGCACGTTTCAAAAATCTAGTTCGTTAAAGAGAAAAAAAGGAAAACTTTTTTTCTTATTATTTGTAATGGTCAAAGTAATTACAAATCGTTAGGTGACAAAATTAAAGTGCAAAATGCATTTACGGTTTCTCAGATATTGACGAGTGTAAAGGAAATCATTCCTGTCACGTGAATGCTACATGCATGAACACCCTTGGATCACATGTGTGTCAATGTCATGCTGGATATACTGGAAATGGACAAAACTGTACAGGTGAATTTAATTTCTTTGCTACAATATTTTAAGATACGTTCGGCTACAGTGCCTCACCATTCAGCCGCTCGCGTTGCAAGAAAATTCGATAATTGATCACTCATACCTCGTTTTAATTCAAGCAGCCATTTCTCATGTTAAGGACCCCTTAAATAAAGTTCCTGACTATTGAATCAACAATTATGGTTACTGATGCATTAATATTCTGCTTTTAAATTAACTATATGTCAATAATTGACAAAAGCATGAGAATGAAATCGCTTGTTTGGCTTTGTGTACAAGATGGAGATGTAAGTGATTTAACATGGCGCTACGTTTTCGTCGACGCTTAAGATATATTTTAGAGGAGAAGTTTAAATTTTGTTATCATCAAGTTTTATTAAAATAGTCAAGACACTAAAACCTATTGTTGATTGCACCGGTAACCCACGGAAAATTGAAGTTTATGTTGTTTTCTCTCAGACGTTGACGAATGCAGCAAGGCGCATGCCGTCAAAATGAACGGATGCCATCCAAATTCATCTTGCACTAATACCCAGGGCTCATACAACTGTTCTTGCAAACTTAAGTATATTGGAGATGGTTTTGCATGTAAAGGTTAGTTTGGTTTTTCATGAAGGCGATGAAATCTATATTTTGTTTCCCACGTTAAACGTAGCAGTAAATTGGCTTAGAGCTGACTTTCATTCGAAATTCACATCCAGGAGGCATAATTTTACGCTCCCTTGTGCACAAAAACGAAACAACTTTTGATTATACATGACTATAACTATATGAAAATCATGCATGTGCACTGCGGTTGAAGAAACGAATATAGAGGCAATCCTCGCAGTTATGAATACCACTGAACTAGTAGTGAAAATAAGGCCTGAAAAAAATTCAGGTCCGTACGGGATTTCAACCCATGACTTCTACGATACCGGTGCAACGCTCTACCAACTGAGCTAACAGGCTAACTGGGAGCTGCTAGTTACAAATAAACCATCTAATTGGTGAATACATTAATGTAAACATATGAAAATCATATATGTGCACTGCTACTGCCAGTATAGTAGTGTTCAAAACTGCGAAGATCGCTTCAATGTTTGAAACTTTTGATTATGTTTTTAAAACCTTACACGAACTTTTACATGATGCAGACATGACACACTACGTGGAACTAAAAAACTGTTAAGAAACTCTAACCTTAAAAGATTCCCCTATAATTACAGTTATGATCAATCAAACTCATTTGACTTTTGCAAGCCAATTTGGGCTATGGTTATAAATAGCTAGATGATGCCAATAGGCAGAGAGTTCTTACACAGTCATGGGAAATAATTGTGTTACTACCAAATACCTTTGGGCTGGTATCGTTGTGTGGGAGGTGAGGATCAAAAATGTCTTAAGCGCATTTGGTAGCATACAGTAGAGGTACAAACAGCTACAGGCTTTGATGGGCGATTAAAGTAAGAGGAAAGATAATTCTTTACAATACTATCATTTCATTTTAGTTCTTTTGTGCATCATTATTGTCCAACGCAAAATTCTTTTTAAAATTAATTTAATGCATAGTTGTTCTTGTAACACGCAAGTCCTATCCGATTATTATCGAACTGATTGACTTGAAAAATGTCAAAAACAGAAAAATGATATCATTAGTACTGCAAAATTTTGTAATATTTATTTATTTTAATAGCCGACCCATGTTATTATCATCAAAACCTGAGTGATGCCGATAGAAAGAACAGTTACTCTACACCGGGATTTGACATGTACTACTTAGCCCCTTAATTAATGTAAAGTCACTTGTCTTCTAAAGTACAAGTTTCACCACTGATTGACAAGCTGCTAGAATTATAAGACGTTAGAAAAGATCTTGAACCATTGATGTTAATAACCTAAGTCCTGTTGCAATTATTTCACTTTGTAGCCGATCCTTGCCATCATTATAAAAACCTGACCGAAGCCAGTAGAAAGATAAATTACAGTGCACCTTTCGGTTCAGCGTCGTGTGACAACCAACTCCCTAAGGAATGGTATCGTTTTGTGGGAGCTGCAGGAACAAAAATGCCAACAACACGTGTGCCAGCATACAAATGTGGTACAGACTGGCCAGGCTGGTTGGATGGTTCTCATCCTACAGTGGAAGATGGTGAAGTTCAAAGGACGGTCTGCTTTAGTGGTCGCTCTACTGGTTGCAAATACTCAACAAATATTTTTGTAAAAAACTGTGGATCAATCTTCATCTACGAACTTAAAAACCCAATTTTTTGTAACTTACGCTACTGTGGTACAGACTGAATGTAAAGCAAATGTACTTCGCGTAGTAAGAGGACTCATAAATCGCTCTGTAGGTACATGTGTACAAGGTTTTGACATGCGACGTATTCAACTTTTCTTCTCTATCGTCAACATTATCAGCAGATTTTAACTTTGGTGGCAAACAAGTATTTATTTCATTAGAATGATAATTCTCATCGGATAGCCTTTGTCATTGAAGAGAGAATTGCCCAAAGGATCTTTAAAGTAATCTTCAAGTAAAATCTGCAAGACACAAACTCTCAAGCTTATGGCTTTCGAGCCTTTATGTTTTTTTTTTTTGTTTTTTCATCCTTCTATTGCTGTAATTATAAACCATGATTATTTTAGCGTTGGTCAGTGGAATATAAACAGGCGCTATCTTTCGCTATAGGCGTAGAAAAAAAGTGATGACAGTCAAAATCCGATGTCCTATGAAATTACGTAAATTTAACGTAATAATAGTAACTCAGTATTTTGAAACGTTGAACCAATTTCCAGACACAGTAAGCAAAATTTAATGGTTTAGCCTGCGTAACCGTGTGTTAAATGTGTCCGAATCGACCAGGATTCATTTGAAATTATTGGATCGCTTACATCTCACGCTTATTTTGAATCCAAGTTAAAGATCTTTACGCAATGGCTTCAAAGTGTCCCTATACAGCTTATTTAACTAAGCGCACGGGCACTTCATTTATTCGAGACAAAATTTGTTCAAATAATTTTATATAGGTAATCACGCGTTTCCAGTGCAATTTGGGATAAAACAGAACGAGAAAATTTTAAACGACTAACCAAATTGCATAAAGCCGTAAGGCGAGTGCAACTTGGATGTGTATTATTAAGTTTAAAAGCTGCATGTAGCTTTTAAAAGTTGACCTGTTTTGCCTACAACATAAACACGCTAAAAGAAAGGTATTCAGAACTGCAATGTGTTAAAAAAAAAGTATTTAGAGTAGCTTAGTTAAACACAAGTTGTAAACAACTTTTTACACCGTTTAAGTACATCACCAAAAATATTTTACAGGAATGTTAGATTTGAAATCAAAATCACAGTTTCTCTCGGCGAAGTTTTCCTTTTATATAATGCAAACATATTCAAAGAATCCTATGAAAAATAGTAAGCGCAGAAAAGAAACCCACTCTCACCGTAACCCTCAAAGGCTACTGCCTGATATTTCAATATTCTAACTAAGACTAGTCTTCCAATCATTTGATGTTCATTTCTCTCTAATTTACAATAAGAGACCTGAACACAAAGCAAATGAGGCAAAGCAAGGCGAGTTTCTTGACAACGTATCAAAATATAGAAAAATCGTCGGTAGACTCTTCAAAGCAAAGTGATATGAGCTGGGTCAATCGTGGCTCAGCTTCTTGAGTGGTGTAAATAAATTATCTCATTATTTAACAAAAACTGTGTATCTCTTTGTAAATAAATTTAACTTACACAGACTATTTTTAGCTGAGTTTCATAACACGAACACGAGTAAGCGTTAAGGGCAGTGTAGTCCATGGGTCGGAGTAGGTTCTCGATACCACTCATCTAATAGCGATCGCGAAAGAGTAGCTTTCACCGTTTTTTACTGAAGTTAATATCAATAACCAGGGAAAATAACAACAACAACAAGGAAATGTTGCAGTGAAGTAAAAACAGAGCCATAAATAAAAACTGGGTTTAACTTTACATCGCAACAATTCAGTGACAAATGGAGAAAGTTATTGAAAAAGATTTTAACGTAAGGAGCAGAAAAAGGAAAATAAGGTAATTTTTAACTTAATATTGAACATTTTTCTTGATTAATTGCAAGTAGTTTTCACAAGTAATGTTTGAATTATGAAGTTAATAGTAATAAAAAAAAAATTGCAAAAAGGCATCTCTTGTAGTTCATGCCTTTGTTAGTGCTAAGGGATGTACATAAATTTGATACCCGTATGGGACAAGGGTCAAAGGGGAGGGGGAAGGTTCTTTATAAAAGAACAATGGGAGAAATCATTGTTACCCTTAGGACCTGATAGTAATAATGGATACCTTTTGCATTGATGTACAAAAATTGCTCTGAAAAAATTCATATTCACATTCCGCTGGTAAATGAAGTTATCGATAAAATGTGTAAACGCACTGGGCGGTTAACTTCGCTCGGTTAATATATATTTTTCCATAAATGAATCAGTCGGAACTGTTGCAGAATAAAGTCTGGTAATAAAACCAGATGCTGTAGTATTGCCCATTGTCTCCCGTTGCCGGATTCCATCATTTATCCTGTCGATGTCATCTGTCCGGCAGAAGGAAGTGAATAACGTTTTCGTACACCACAAATGTAAGTGCACATGCTGGCGTTACTCTAGAAAGAAACAAAATCAACAATCAAACGCACAATACACAGTAAAATCGACAATGAACGTTTTACATATATTACAGTTTCAGGGTTTCTTCTAAAGCGCTCCTTTGCTGGATTTCCAAAAACAAAAAAACCGCTAAAACCTACACTAACATATCAGGTGGGGCACAAACATTTTGTGATAACGATAAGTATCTTAATAATTTCACAGTATTCGAACATGTAACTGACGAAAACAATGACATGACACCTACTCCGAATTTTATAGGCTCTTAATGTATCTATCGCCTGTCTCTTCTTCCCAGTTTCTCACAGACTAGAGGGTGCAAATAGGTTCAAACACCTTATGGGGGTACCCCATCTCTTAAGACCCTTTCCTTTACAAAGCGCTACCTAAAATTAAAGATGAGAGCCCACTAAGCCCTCTTGGCCAATTCTAGATTATACATTGCGGTTTAATCACCCATTCCACAAAAAGTGGGCCCAATAGCCATTTTCAATGTCTTTGTTTTGCGGAGGCCACAAGAAAAGTTATAGCCGTACATTTTTAGTGCCCAGGTAGAGTAGACATGGTAAGTTCAAAGCCCCAAATGCAAAGTCGTATGTATCTTATACCATTTTTTTGCATTTGGAGCTCAAAACCCCCTAAAAGTACTTTTTTTCAGTGTCCACGATGGAACGGTAGAACAAACATCTTGATTATAAACCTCTGAATGATCCCCGGGTAAACATTCGATATGTGTAAACCGTCCAATAGTAAATGAACTTAAAATAAATTTTGATGTTTCATAGTGCACTGCATTAGTCCGATTTTAGTAGTCACAGAATTGATGTCCACAAATTCTTTGTAACTTCCGTTACCGAAATAAGAAAAAGTAATTTAACTGCGTTAGAAATCCCTGTATAATCTCTTCTTACCGTCAATTACTTATTGTTTCATCGCAGTTTCAATATTTTAAGTCATCACCTCCTTTTCTACAAGTGGCAATGATAGACTTCCCTTTGAATGAGGCCGAAGAGCACCGTATGGTTAAGAATGTAACTTCCGTTACCAGTGTTTAGCGAAAACAAAAGTTCCTTTGCTTCAAAATGTTCTGTGCAAGTACGAAGGTACCTACAATCAGTAAGCTCACAGACTTATATTAACTGGCTTGTGTCTTGGAAAGAAGTGGAGGCACAAAAGATCTCAAACTGTAACTTCCGTTACTGTAACTTCCGTTACCATTTATTTTGGAATATCTTAAATACGCGTCCTTTGGTTGAGTTGCACTTTGGAACATCATCTGGCTGTCTAAAGTCGCGGCAAAATAAACATGACTGACATTATTGACATTCCAGTGTTACGCAACAACCCCTCCGTTGCCGTATTGCGACACATTCGCCAAGACCGAAGCGTTTGTTACAAATTTCTCAATTTTTCATTGTCAGTCGTTCATCGAAATTGACAAAATCCAAAGGTGAGTAGTATCAATATGATGTACATACAAAATTTATTTGCATTGACGTTTTCTTTTGGCTAAAAGCCTCGTTTTCTGTCAGACAGTAAAAATGTAACGGAAGTTACAAAAACTGGAAGTGGCTTGTTAGGGCCTTAAAACGGGTTTTGGAGTCACAAGAATGAAAATTTTGAACATCAGAGTAGAATATATCGTAAAAATAATCATATCTAAATGTTTAAGCTGTAGGCGTTTAGAGATATTTATGAATAAACCAATTTTAAACGGCGTATTTAAATAATAAAACTGAATCGTTGCGTGACATAATTGGACCTACTCTTCACACGATCGCAGATGCCAAAAAGTCGTGCAGAGATTCAAAAGGCTTACCGTGAAAGGCAAAAACAGAAAGAAGGGAGAGATTACGTGGAAAGAGAGAGGACAAGAAAAAGAAAAGCCTACATACCTGCTGCAAATTTGGATGACAATGCCCTTAAGAAGCGAAGACTGGACCAAAAAGCCCGGGTGGAAAAATACCGGAAAGAACAGAAAGAAAAACAGTGTGCCATCGAAAGAGCAGCAGAAGCTTCATCCACTCAAAAACGTCAAACCCGGAGTGCCTCTAAAGAAGCTGAAAAAGTGCCCCATTTGATGGTAAAGTTCAGTAACCCTAACCCTAACCCTAACCCTAAGATCTCTATATTTTCTTCTTTGTAGGAGCAGAGCACTTTAATAGTATGATTTTTATTTACATGTTGCCCTGTATTAAGTATATACTACGTTGATTTTGAATAACTTAAAAACGAGAACTTAAAAAAGTGGAAAATTATTTTAAAGATCGGTGATTTTTTTGCCTAAAGTGATTTTCAAGTAAGTACAATAAAATGTTTCATAACTACGGAAATATATGACCTTTGGTGCTAATTTTTGAGGTATTTACTCTTCGATATTTGCGCTTTAAATTGAATGATTCGCCACGTACTTTCTGTGAAACTGATTTTTTTCGATTTTCCAAGTGACATTGGGCCCACTTTTTGTGGAATGGGTGTAATACATAAAACTAACAAGCAAATCTACTCGTATCATCAAATTTATTTTTAACATTTAGCCTTACCTGAGGACACTGGGAATTAATCCTTTATAAAATCCTGTTACTCCTTCATGCCTAAGATTTTGAAAAGAACCTGCCGTGAGGAGAGGCCAGAAAAAGAAGAATACTTTCTTTCATAAAAATGTGGACTTTACCACTAAGCCGTAAGTCAATCCGAAATTGGATCCAGTTCTCAAACAAGCTGGTTTCAGTTCTCCACCAATTTTGGTCCAATTCTTTGTCAAATTGTTTCAAACGGGCAAAACATGTACCTCTCTTTAATGTAGAGGGTTTGAACTGACTAGAGATGGAAAGCTAGTTTATAACGTATCGAAAGCTTTAAGTCCTCATGTCAAGTTCCAACTTACCTGAAAGTCTTACTAATCACATCCAACGCGCCTTTGTATTCCACCATCGTGTACTGATTCTTTAGAAAAGTAAAATTCATGAACAATAAATGACAGCAAGAAACAGTAAATACTGAACGATTTAACAAAACAGACTTGCTTAGAGACAGCTCCAGATATACTCAATTGGTTTTAGCTAATTTTATGGGCACAGGATCAAAACTTTCGCGCCGAGCGTTCTCATAACCATCTTGGATCCGTGTTTCTTAAGAGGAATAGAGAGAGTGAAAGAGGGTGAAAGCTACTCTCCCTCGTGAGATTTGGTATTTATCCTCATTTTAGGGTTTCCCTGGCCTTTTGTTGGTGCCCATTTGAAAGACTGGGAGGGGGGATGTGTGGTGCTAACGAATCTTTTCCCAAGGAACCGACACAATGACCTAGCTGAGGCTCGAGGCCCGAGCACAGGCCACATCAAACTGGAGTCCAGTAAACCAACCCATGAGATCACCGGCCTGAAAACTAAAAACAGCCTTAAACTACAAGTTTATTTCAAGAGAATAGCATACAACAGTAAAACGAAATCTAAATCTATGTCAAAAGGTTAATAATTTGCTAATGAATCTCCCATTCTAACCTGAAGTTTTGCTCTAACCACTTGATAAGGATATGTCGCTGTTGCGGCGAAAATTTTCGACAGTGAAGCCATTACAAGGTACTCAGTTGAACTCTATGAAGAAAATGAAAGTTAGCAAAACATAAATTATAGAGCAAAACACTTTATATAAAAAAAAGAAATACTATATTTTCAGCACTTCAGAGTGATTCCCAAGATAACCCACGGTTACATAATAATAAACGTCATCCCATAAGTACCTTCCTAACAGCCACGTGCACAACAAAGGTATTAAGGTTGTCGTTTGGGCGTCAGTTGTAGCTTCAAAATGCTGAAGCTCGTCATGGAGGATTACTACACAAGATGAGAAGCCAAAAACTTCCCCCACCCTTCCCTCTCTCGTGTTCTCCCTTTGCATTCGCCACTGGCCACTACATGTGTTCGTGTTAACCCTTTACACCCTATCATCAGTATCCATATTCTTCATACTGTTCTATGTACATTTCCAAAGATACTGACAAGGAGAATTTCTTAAACAGTCAAGAACTTTTTCGGTGGCTGAATATTTCCTCTATTCTCATGACCTCCATGTGTGATTCATAGGTGATATTGTAAGGAGAAGTTAGATGTCAGTCAATCTTGGGGGGGGGGGCAAAAGGTTGATTCTTATCAATCCTTCTCGGTGGAGAGGGGAGTTGAGAGTAAAGTTTCGTTCCAGTAAATGACAACACTTCAATCATCCACCCTAAGCTATGAACATGATCAGAGTAAAAGCACTTCACATGTTCTGTTTGTCGAGGTTTAAGACCAAGAGTTTATTGTTTGCTAACTCGGTTGAATTTGTGAGCTTTAACGCGTATACAAGCAACTATACAGACACGTGCAGACAGTATTCACCAGCTTCTTGTTGATTGGTGTTCCAAAATATTGACTGTAGCCTTTCTTCAGCTCCTTGCAGTGCTCCGTGCGATACGCCAAAAATACCTGGAACGTAACACTGGTGAAGTAAAATAAAATGATATGAGCAAACTTCATGTTCCATCCAAACACATAAACTCAGGTAAACTCTAAGCTAGGCAAAGATAGCGAGGTCTTAAAAAAGGCTGAAATAGCTTTGTAAGGTTGCTGACTCTAAGACTGATGTTTGTGCTTCTCTTTTGTTCTTGCTCTTTCCTTCCCTTTTTCTCTTTTTGGTTGTTTTTTTTCCCTCCTTTTTTTAAGGAGGTTTGAAAACCACTGTTGGCTTAGTGCATATGCAGCAACCAAAACATACTAACTACAAAAGTGAATATCAAAGACATAATTGTGATTGCATCATGCAGACCTACATCTGTGAGATACCTAAAGTTCTCTGCAATCAGAGTACCAAACAATGAGTCACTTAAAAAAATAGGCCCAATGTATTGGTGTACAGTTTTCAAATTGTGCTCCATAAGAACACTTTTACACTTTCACTATTGAATCTCCCATGCACATCTAACAACTAAAGACTGTATATATTTTTAATAATTCCTCTATTGTACTACATTTTATTTCATTATTTTTTTTGTACTTAAGCCGAAGGTATTAAGGTACACATGGAGCGGTACACACCACTTGTGACTTCTTGGATTTGATTGACTTTATTAGAGACCAATACCCTGCATACTTCACCGCAAGACAAGCACACACAGTCAAAATAATCTCAATTTTTAACTTGATCAATCAATCAAAAAGCTGTCAACCGATACATATGAAGGTTACCTTGTATAAACCTCTCAACCCCTCATGTTTCCACAACTTTAACAGAGCATCTGTAAGGATCAGGGAGTACAAAATAAGTCATGCACCTGGATTTCATTTTAGTGAGGAATTGGTGAGCACAATTACATGCCCCACCACCTTGATTCCAGTTCACAGTGAAATTATGATTGAGAAAAGTATCAAACAATTTATTATTCACTGCTGAATCAACGTTTGGCTTATAAAAAACTAAAGAAATGATCACAAACTTGAAAGAGCTCTTGATTTTTAACTACATTCTCCTTGTAAGTTGCATGTCTGAAATGTATCAAGAACAGTACGGGGAAATACATACTGATGGAAGTGTGTAAATGGTTCACTTTTCTTTTCTCTCTCCTAGGTAAAAAGGTGTCATTCATCTTTGCAAACAAATATCTTACCAAAAATTCATTTGTACTGAGGTGTTTGTGTTTTTTCAGCAAGGGAATCAGAATACTAGAGACATAAGCGAGTTTTGACCACCCATATTAGGTTTGTTAGGTAACCTGGCACAAACCACCAAAAAGTTAATTCATCATACTAATTAGCAAATAGATGGACTTTAATCGTTGGAAAGAAAGTCAACGTGATATAACTTAAAACTTTTCCTAAAATGATCTCAAAAATAACGGAAAACAGTCGGTTACTCGCCAAACATACAATTATCTATTTGTTCAAAATTGATCAGCGCACTAGAATGAATGTGGAAAGGGCATCGAATGAGTTAACGTCTGATAACATTTCGCACCGTGAACACAACCCTGAGAGTGACGCTAAATGAGCACGATTCAAACTTCGAGTCTCTCAACAGAGACAAACACCCTGTCCCAGATGCTTTTGCCGAAACATATTCACAATTCTTTCATTAAATTTTTTTCGAATATCTGTAGTTCTTAACAATAAAAACAAAACAAGATTATAAAGACTGCCTCGAAAAGCTCGTCCGTGGAAAAGCGCCAAAGTTTGCCCGAGAGGTTTGAAATTTCAGAATTCAGACCACCTGTACATTCTCTAAAATTCAAATTCAAATAAAAGATTATTTGGGACTAGAAGTTATTAGGATCCACAAGTTATTGGTAAACTTACAGAGCCACAGAATTTAGAAAAGGAACCAAAACTGAATAGTTTCTTTGAGATCAACTTAGATTTATAAGGCCTATTTGGTGCACCGTTTTATTTTGTCCCTTGTTAGAAGTGCTGTTTCACAGTAACTTTTTTTGTTTGTTTTCAGTCATTTGCGCCGGTGAAATATCGCTTTCAAAAATCTCACAGTTTCAAACTATGGCCAACATTTATCAAATAGAACATAAAAAACCACGATAATTCCATAGGGACATTTTTTAATGCAATAGCTACAAGGATTCTCTCTAAGATATCACCTTTAATTGCCATCCATAGAAGGTGGGTGTATTTGTTTTACCACAATGATGGTCGAATTCTACTTCGGTTCTTCTACTTTCCCTCGACGGCTTTGAGGTTTTGTGGTGCCTTGAAGGAGATCAAATGAAAAAGAGCACAAAAAATTTAGCCAAATCTCGTGCAGCAACTTCTTTATTCTCCATATGTAGAGGGCTAGATTAGTCTTTAAGACGAATATCAACATTTAGACAAAGTAATTGATAGCATGAATCATGAGGTTCATTTTGGATAAATGATTCGAGACAACTTTTCTCTCAAATATTGATAACTGAGTTCAGTCAAAAATATTTTTGGGAATAAATATTAAGAGAATATAGTTCAAATTGCTTGACCGATCGTACTTCTTTTCTGCTTTGAAAAGTGGAATATTCAGGACTTAATTATCTTCAAGCGGCACCGGTCCGGCGGTTGTAATTTGCGTCCACGGGGCGTCTTTCCTACAATAGAAACCTCATAAAAAATAAAAATGTCCTTAATGCATCAATTTTTGGTCACGGAACCATAGTTAAAACAATGTTTAAGGACTTAACTCGGACTCAAGTTTCAATGCACAAAGGTTTTGCATTAAGAAACGAAACTACTTGGCGACGATTTGACGCAAAATGCAGATCTAATCTCTGGAGGGCTTTTCTTAAGTCAACACATAATTCTGAAATATTTGAGGGCACTCGTTTTTGAGCAGGAGGTGAAATAGATATCTTTTAGGCTTAAAAAGTTTCTGATAGCTGATAATTAAGTCTCCCTGACGTTGATGAATGCGGGGGCTCTAAGGAATAATTGTGTGTTTATTATTCGTTGTTCACTTTCAGCATGAGTGAAGTTCTCTGTTATCATTAATATGAGAAAAAATCTTCTACTCTATGCTAATATAACGGTTAAATCGAACGCGCTTTCTCTGTGTATTGATACATTAAAGAAAAAAATTTCAGGCGTTTGAGCCTAAACATATCCAGGTGCAAAATATTTTATTGAGGACTTAAAAGGAGCGAGCACTCATCTTTTACCAACACACCCTAAATTGACAAATATTGACAAAATAATCATTTCAAATGTTTTTCAGTCCACTTTCGCAAAGCATCTCTAAACTGGTAAAGGAATGCGACTACAGCCTTAGGAGAAAGAAAAAATATTTTGCGTTTATAAATAAGATTCCTTATATTTTTACTTTTTTGTATGGAACTGATAGCGAAAAAGAAAACTAAAAATTAGAAGCAAATTACTTCCAAACAGATTATTGACAAGACAATTTTTTACCATTAAAGAACAACTTTGATATTGGAGTAAACGGGACAGAATTCATTTAAAGAGTTCTGCTGAGTATAAACGTTAAAAATAAAATCGATACCAAAGCTTTGCCCTACTTCAACTGAAGTTTTTCAATTAAAAAGCCTCATTTCAGTCGATGGATTTACAATGTAAGTTCAACCTCATATCCTGTCTCTTAAATTGATATGGAAGAGGAATCAAATCGTTTGGTTCAAACTGAATCTTCAGCGAATAAGTTCTGCGTCATTATTTTATACAGCTGACGGAAAATTGCAAGCGAATTGATATTAAGGAAAGGAAAAAAACAGAGTCTTGTTTAACCTTTTTTTCCTATAAACTTGCCATAACATGAATATTCTCCCCCATAAATCGAACGGTCACAGTATGTTTTGTATCCCCAAAAATTTCGCAACTCAAAACAGCAATTGATAGACATTTCAACAAATATTTGGAGTTTGCATCACTCGTTTCATTTTCATATTGAAATCGTGAGGCCAATAAACATCTCCGCTGCAACTCTGTCTAAGAAAAACCCTAATGATTCCCAAATAACTTCAAATAAAAGTTGGCGATATCAAAGAAACGGGTGAACAAAGGTGTAGCGACTCAGACAGTAATAACATTTAGTAGACATGCAGTCAAGAGTGACGCTAAATGAGTACGCATAACACTTCGAGTCTCATAACTGAGACAAAAAACATGTCCTGGACGCTTTTATCGAATATCTGTAGTTCTTGGCAGTACGAACAAAACAAGAATATAAATATTGCCAAGAAAAGCTCGTTCGTGGAAAAGCGCTAAAGTTTGTCTAAAAGGTTTTAAATTTCAGAATTTAGACCACCCGTACATAGTCTCAAATGCAAATTCAAATAAAAGGTTTTTTGGGACTAGAAAATATTAGGATCTCACAATTCTAACTCCATTAAGTCATTTCAAATAGGATTTTGCTCGAAAGCTCTCTTTAATTGTTCCATCGTATGTCACACTTAAAAGATGTTAAAAAGATTTTTAAAAGATTGAGCAGCCCCGCGTAAAAAAAAACAAACAAACAAACAAAAGCAAGCAACCCAGGAAAAATGAGGGCGAGACTCTGTTAGTTTAAAAGTTTTGTATTCAAATGATGGTCATTAATAGCTTTTAGGACCTGTTATATCTCTCGTTTAAAAACAAACTATACATGCACTTGTGGTGACGAAGGGGTTGGAAGAAACGCGAGAAATTCTTAAATGGCGTAATTTGGGAGCAGCCTACAGCATAAATTCAAGTAACGTAAGGATAAAAAGAACTTGAGCACGTTAGATGACAAAAATGCACCTGTCAAATTTGCAGCGTCATTGACTTAAATGAACTTCACAATCGGCGAATTATTTGTGTTATGCTTGGAGGTAAATGGTTAAAATTTTTCTGCAAATTCGTCAGTTTGTTCGCAGTTTCCGTAAAATGTTGCTAGATTTACTTGCCCTGATCCTGAGCTTAAATTCCAATTGTAGCTTCATTTGAACCCTCAAGTTTTAATGTCTTTCTCGACTAATGGAATCTTGTTTACTTTTAGCAAATGAATTGCATCACAAATCATCAATATTTGCTCG